AAGCCGACAAAGCATAGCCGGGCATGAATAAGAACATTAAGAGACGAATCAGCATGGACGCCAGGAGACTAGGAAAGATATACATATATACATTACGACTAGGAGAGATAATACATAATTATATACATTACGACTAGGAAAGATATACATATATATACATTATGACCACATGTCTGCTGTTCACGCAACCACCTGCCCAATGGCACTAGAGACTCTTAGGAGGTTAGGCAGGGACTCCGAGAAATACGACATACCAGACTCACTCTTCCATCCTCCATGGCGCTGAATTAGACGGTCTGGGATACCTGCTGCAGCTGCCACGGACACCCCCCCCCCCCCCCCCCCCCCAGAACGGAGGCTATGTACACCATACTTGTCAGGATCCTGTCCAACTGCCGCCAATGCCGCCCGTACTAACTCCCTCGCTCTGGAGTATGACATCTGGGACCGAATAACCTGTCGACCATGGTAGGTTCGGACTCTGCCAAACAATGTTGAGTTTGGCGAGTGGTCACCGCTGGCGAGAAACTGTTCAACTAGTTGAACTGGACAGAGGTCTTGTTCCCAACGGCTGATGAACACCCAGCTACCTTCCCGGAACTGGTCGTTCTTTCTGCATTCCAGGAAAACAGCCATGTAGTCTCGATGAATGGACAGGGCATCTATTCGGACATGAGCAAGATCGTCCCAGCGGAGGAAACCAGCAAACCCTAACGTAACGAGTGTCAGGGTTTGGAGATCCTGCAACTTTCCAGTAGACAATGAGACCTTCAGCTTCTTCAGCAGTTTCGGTGTCAGCGGGGCTTTCCTCCTGCGCTGCGTGGCGAGAAATCTCTTTGCTGCTTGATGTACCCTTTGCACCATGGGTACTTGGCATGGATCAGGATGACTATAGGTGTTATGTTTCCAACTGATTCCATGGACCGCTGCAGAGACCGGCGCTGGTGTACTGGAAGTGGCAATCTTCTTGACTAGGTACAATGCTACATGCAGCGGGGCTGCCGGGAGAGCCGAAATACCTTGACCTTTGGCCCACCTCTGCCACTGCGTGAAACTTGCCTTGTACTTCTTGACGGTTGACTTTGCCCTGGCGCCTTCTAACACGGTTGGTAACTGTTGAGCCAACAGCGACATCTCCGATGACAGGTGCGTTGGCAACAAAACGAAAAATTCCACATCCTGACTACACCCAAGAAGCTCCTACTCAACAAGATGTTGATGGACTAAACTAAACTAATATTCAAATACACCCGCACTGGGCCGCAGTGAATGTGCCCCAAATCCACGAGTGTACTTGACAGGAGACATTCACCAGCCTGTCAGCGATCCACGATAGCTCTACTTGTACAAGCGAAGGTCGCTTCAACTCGGACAAGAACATCTAATTCTAATAATAGGACGTGCTGCATTTGCATTCCTCCGCCAAAGCGGAGCGTTGAGGAGCACAGTATAATAGTCTGCATGTATGTGTGACCGCTGCATCGTGTGTTCCGCCAAAGCGGCTCCGGTAGTTACGCTTTTCGCCTCCGCAAAAGCGGTGCAAGCTTTTCATGTGTGACTAGGTCGACTGCGGCCTTAGATAACGCTTATGTGGGTATGGGCATTTCCTCCTTTCGTCTTGGGTAGAGTTCGCGCCACAGTCAACGCAAGACACAAGCCATAGCAAGCAAAGCAAACAGCCCTGGTGTTTCAAGCGCTATGTACTAGTACAGCAGAGCAGAACATAACGTTACCTGTCATGGGCAACAGTAAAGCGGTTAGTAGTAGCAGCACAGAGAGTCGCCCTTCACTCTTCTCCATTGCTAGGCCGACAGCCAGCACTGCAAACGCTTGCCGTCTGGTACGTAGCTAAATTTGCTCGTTACGGACAACAAATTTACGTTAGTGGGCGCTAGTAAAAAAACCATTCATTCAACTGAGCGATATGGAACAAAACCTTATTCAGATGGCCTTAGAATGACATTTTATTCTAGTAAACTACAAGTCGTCGATCCGGAGCGGGCTAGTCAGATTTTTATTGCCCGCGATTTGGTGTTCCGCGCACCACTAGGAAAGCGAGTTGGACGCACTTCACAGTTCAGATCGCCGCCGGGGAGTCGTGCAAACCCTTGCGCGACTATCTGGTTCAGAAGATGCAGTTTCAGTGTAAAACACAGTCCCATGTGACAGGTCCTGAGGTGACTTCTCGTGAAATAATTCAACACGTGCACCTCAGTGACATGCAGTCCACTGAGCATAATGTCAAACATGTAGTCCTGTGCCAGGATGCCGAGCTAGTGCCAAGTGAGCGAGAACGAACTTACTTCACTCCGGCTGTAGCTGTCGGTGTGTGGCCATACCATAATGGCGACGTTCTCACTTGCAGACTCCATATCTCGGGATCCCTAGACTGTGCACTTACATGTACATGTAAAACACATAAATATTATTATTATTTTGTCTGATGTCATGATTACATTCGCCATTTCGCGCCATCTGCGATGCTATCATTGACTCTATCCAAATCATGCACATTGCTGAAGATGTCTGACTAAGTCTAAGGGCGCGTTCCAATTGTCACTCTTGGACTTTTCGAATAGTTTCTTTTTTCTGAAGAAGTGGCCTTATTGGCCTCTTCAGAAAAAACGAAACTCCACAACCTCATCTGATGGGAGAGGTGGATTGGTTGCGAAGAGTTTGGAATAGCGGTACGTCACGTAGTACGTGGAGATGGTCGATCTGAAAAAAACCGTCATCATCGCCATGACAATTCCACTGAAAAACTCTAAAATGATAGAAACCGTTCTAGTGGGACACTTCGAATAAGAATAATAATAGTAGTTACAGTTCGCATGTCACTCATGGAAGGATCCATGGGCTTAACGCATCTGTCAACGAAATCCAGGCAGAAGAGCCAACAAAAGGCATCTCATTATTGTTAGAACGTATCGCAGTGAGAACAACTACGCAAGCGCAGCACATTTTTCCACAAGCATCAGCCATTTTTTCTTGTCTAGAGCCAGTTCAAAACAGTCAGAAATATCAATATTGGCGTGCTTTAGATCATTTCAATATTGTCAATCCATCTGAGTTGCGAATAATCTCTTTAAAAAATCTGCTCGAACAGTTGATGAAGACAATTTGAACGTCCACTTGCTATCTCAATTCAACTGTACAGCGCCTGACCACTGGGTATAAAGGAAGGTCAGGTCGTGTGCGTTTGACTGAGTCTTGTCATTGACATGATGACGTTCCCATGCATGGTGGCTCTGATTTTGTCAAAGACGTCTCAACAAACAAAAAACACCAATGCAGCATGTCGGTCATTCATCGTGCACGAGCCGTCTTCTCCACAACGAAGAAAAAACTCGATGGCGATCCACGTGATGAATTTTTCATTTCTCTGCGGGCGCGCGGAAATATCACCACCAGAGAGAACTGCAATAGATATTTTACTACTCTCTGAACTGCAATAGATATTTTTACTACTCTCTGATACTTGTGTGCATCGTGATCGTACCCGTAAAAGTCTCGTGTGAGCGCGCTTGTACATATCTCGCTCACCGTGCAACCTTTCTCACATATTTTTATCGTCATGTGAGCGCAACCCAAACGGAACAATTTCGTTCCGTTTTGGTCGTACTTCCTTGTCCTGTAAACGCAGCCTCAGTCTGCCGCCATGTTCGCATCGTCGTCTGTCTGGGGCGTAGGAGGGGTTTTGGAAGTGGTACGACCGAAGGTCGGTGCGGCCGAAGGCCGTGTTGGAGGGGGTCCGGGGGAGGTCCCGCGGGAAAATTTTGTAAAAAAGACACAAAATCCTGCGTTCTGGGAACTTCTGGCACACTTCTGGCGCAGTGTGCAGTCGAGTCGAGTACAGTACTCAGTACGACTGCAGATGCACAACAGATCTACGAGTACGAGTCTAGAAAAAGGTCAAAGTCTGATGCGCATATGCATCGATGATTTTTTTTATTACGGTTTTGCACGTTCCAGACGGACCACACTTTTCGAAAAGTGGTACGGCCATGGTCGTACCAGTCGTAGCGGGTGCTACGCCCCGGGCGACTGTTACAGAAACATGAAGCATAAAATCCTTTGCAACCCCCCCCCCCCCCTGTAGTAGTAGTGATAATGCATGGTGACAATCAGTGAGCCCTTGATAGAAGTTACTGCTAATTCCTTGACCTTTGGAATGACTGTTGCCGGTTCGAATCCCACAATTGCATGTGTTACCTTTTTGTGTCTTTCCCCATTTATGCCAATGATGTAATCATTACTCATTACTCTTTGTAGTAGATAGAGTAGTCACATGAGCTTCTCTGATTAGCTGTTGCTAGGCGCCAGTGCCTGGCCCTGGTATAAAGGCAGTGGTTTCTCCTCATTTCATCCTCTTTCTCTTCGGGTCCTGATGGTGTCGTGAGCTGCTGCTGGCTACTGTTAAAGTACTGTAACTATGACCTTCTCTTCCCTCTTCTTCTATTCCTCCATTGTTGTATGAAACTATATAACATCAAGAAAGAGTGTCTTGTTGTAGATGTATGAGTGCTTTGTGGGCGCTAGGGTTTGAGCTGGTTACGATTCAGTAACATTTATGGTGCCGAAAGCCGGGAATGAACCAGGGACCTTTAGATACGATTCAGTAACACCCCCCACCGGTTGATTAACATGTACAGCTTATGCCAGATTTGTTTAGCGACGATAGTAACTACGTTAAAAACATGCCCGTGTACTGTATACCTTCGCAAGAAAGTCGCCCTTTCAAATTTCGAACCAATATGAAAAATTATCGAATGGAAACAAGGAACGACTGGTAAACTGAGCTTTCCGTGGTGTTCAGGAGCATTTCTACCATGTTTGATCTGCGAGTGAAGAAAAACGAAAAGGTTTCTTCAGAGCGCCACTATGGTTTTGCGCGATTGTTAAAAGCTTTAGGCAATTTGTAGCATGGTGGATTGGTGACCGACACCGTGCTAGTCGAATAAGTACTACAAAGCTTCTTTGCTGAAAACTACACGTTGTGATACAGAATGGCAAATCCAAGCGGGTTAAAATGATTCCCACAATCCAGTAAAAGAAGCGATGAAAATTGTACCATGCCGATCGGCTATCATTCAAAAGTCACTTGCCTACGCAGAACAAAGATTCAGGCTATTAACGTTAGTAGATGCAGCAGGCAGTCGACTTACTAGCATGTGGTTGTACATGTACAGAAATACTTTACTACTGAAAATATCATTATCATCTTTCAACTAGTGTTGTAAAGTAGCGAAAGAGGAACCACAAAAGAATTCATCAACAGCATCATGCTTGCTTGCATGGAGGCATTCTCTTTTGTAAAAATCATCTAACTAAATGCAGTATCAAAAGACATGCACAAAGATAAGAACGTAGGAGAGAATGAGTCCTCATGGCGTAAAATTAATGAATGGGAGCGCTCAAAGAGAGATTGTAAAAAGAGAATTGAAACTCAACATTCGACCGCGTAAATACTTTAAAGTATTTACGCGGTCGAATGTTGAATTTCATTTTTATTAAAATAATATTGTATTCGAGTAAGATTCCAAAAAATATGTATTTATCCTGTAAGAGCAACAGGAAAGTGCAAAAAATATGTATTTATCCTGTAAGAGCAACAGGAAAGTGAAAACATTCTGCATTTCTAATTATGAAAAATGAACTGCTAGCAGTGGTTGGTGGTAAGTGGTCAGCCGGGCATTACTTCTTACTCTCTGAACTGGCTTTCCGTGCAAGGTCTACACCGGCGTAAATATCACCAGATGGACTTTTATATTGCTCGAATTTGAAGTTGCGAAATGACTGTGTTCGTTGGGTTTTTGACACATCTTGTGGTGTTGATGGTGGAATACTGGAGGCGGAACTTATTGGCGAGAGTTCGAAGCTTTGCCGCCAGTCCGATGTAGGGGATTCTGGCGACAGGAGGTTGCCAATATCGGGAAGGTCAACCGGCGTTTGAGAATGCACGAAGACACTTTGCTCATCATCGGTTGTCGGCGTTTGACTGAGGTTTGACACCAGTTTTCCATGTCTGTCGAGCGTTGTTGCGAGGTGTGTAGGTCTTGGAGTGGGTGTGAGATGAGATGTGGCATGACTTTCCTTTCCTGCTGCGCTCCTCGTGCTCACCGGAGTTCTGAACTTCACTCTCTCCAGAGTGCTTAGCTGAGCACTATCCGGAATTTTGCTACCGTTGCCGTTGCTGCTACTGCTGCCGCCTTTGATGCCTCGCACTCCTTTGACCTCCCCCGTTCCCTTCTTCGCATGACTGCCGCTGCTGCCGCTGCCAGCATTGCTACTGGTCCTCGTGTAACGTCCGCGACGTATGAGGCTGATAAGTCCAGTAGATTTGGTGCTTGAACCCGTTGTCGACTTGCGAGAGGAGAAAATCTCCTCGACGCCCTTCTTGGCATCCTGGCCCCGGATGACGTGTACGAAAATGAACAGACCCTGCAGACAGTTCAGAACGGCAAACACGTACTGAAAGACAATGTTGTCATCAGCAAGCACCAGGAATCCCAATACCCATGTAAGGCCAAGCAGGATGGAGATGGACACGACCGTACGGAGCAGAGCCTTCTTTCCCTTGTTGGCGTTTGTTGATGCTGTAGCCAGGTTCTTGCCACGTCTCTGCAGAGTGACGACGACAATGACAAGGATGACTAGATTGTATCCAAGGCACAGCGCCATAGGTGCAACCAAAGCACCGTAGAAGACCGGGTCGGAACGAATCCAGCAGCTGTGAAAGGTCAGAAAAATGAAGAACGGGACTTCCATGAAGAGAAATCCGCTGGCAAACAACTTCTTGTGCAAAGGTTTGGGCCCTACAACGATTAGGGTACACTAAACTACTCCGGAAGCCTTTCCCACCATGTGAAGTTATTGTTTTATGGATAACTTGATGCACCTGGGTCTTTATACTCTTATGATCCAATATAAATATAAACATGAATATTAGGAAATTAGAGGCCACATGCCACGTACTGCTCTTTTCCCTCCGAAACTCAACACTTGCAAGCCAGATATGAAAGAAAGAAAAAATCATCAGTCACACCACCGGGACTCGAACCAGGGACCTTGCTATTCGCGAGCAATGCTCTAACCAACTGAGCTACAGTATGACTCTTATCCATAGTGATGGTAAATCTATCCTTCTTCGATCAATCCACATCAGGCTTGCATCATACTGGCAACTCACACCAATCAAGAGGGACCTCGGCCATTCGCTTGATATCATGGGGAGGGCATCAAACTATGTCCACTGCGAGCAAATACAAGTTGCAATTTCAAATTTGGACTTCACGGAGAATTTCAAAGGTTTAGGAAATTAGAGGCCACATACCATGTACTGCTCTTTTCTCTCCGAAACTCAACACTTGCAAGCCAGATATGAAAGAAAGAAAAAATCATCAGTCATCAGTCTTTCATATCTGGCTTGCAAGTGTTGAGTTTCGGAGAGAAAAGAGCAGTACGTGGCATGTGGCCTCTAATTCCCTAAAACTTGAAATTCGCCGTGAAGTCCAAATTTGAAATTGCAACTTGTATTTGCTCGCAGTGGACATAGTTTGATGCCCTCCCCATGATATCAAGCGAATGGCCGAGGGCCCTCTTGATTGGTGTGAGTTGCCAGTATGATGCAAGCCAGATATGGATTGATCGAGGAAGGATAGATTTACCGTCACTGTGGATAAGAGTCATACTGTAGTTCAGTTGGTTAGAGCATTGCTCGCGAATAGCAAGGTCCCTGGTTCGAGTCCCAGTGTTGTGACTGATGATTTTTTCTTTCTTTCATATCTGGCTTGCAAGTGTTGAGTTTCGGAGAGAAAAGAGCAGTACGTGGCATGCAGCCTCTAATTCCCTAAAACTTGAAATTCGCTGTGAAGTCCAAATTTGAAATTGCAACTTGTATTTGCTCGCAGTGGACATAGTTTGATGCCCTCCCCATGATATCAAGCGAATGGCCAAGGTCCCTCTTGATTGGTGTGAGTTGCCAGTATGATGCAAGCCAGATGTGGATTGATCGAAGAAGGATAGATTTGCCATCACTGTGGATAAGAGTCATACTGTAGTTCAGTTGGTTAGAGCATTGCTCGCGAATAGCAAGGTCCCTGGTTCGAGTCCCAGTGTTGTGACTGATGATTTTTTCATTCTTTCATATCTGGCTTGCAAGTGTTGAGTTTCGGAGAGAAAAGAGCAGTACGTGGCATGTGGCCTCTAATTTCCTAAAACTTTGAAATTCTCCGTGAAGTCCAAATTTGAAATTGCACCATGAATATTGACGAGAGAGCTTGGAAGCTCAGGGCCCTACGCTATGCTTTTGCCTTGATGACCTAGACAAAAAAAAAGCATAGGGATGTTATAAATTCTTTAAAAAATTCCTTTTTTTTAAGACATAACTGGGATTCGAACCCGCACTATCGCGCGCCCTGCATGCATCCACCGATACACTTTGCATACATACTAATTATTCCAAGTTGTTTCACATTGTGATCTTGCATTTGAAAGCCCTATTTGAATATGCATTGTGGCCAGCCATCTTTGATGGCACGGTACGGTAGGGGATAGGTACGGGACAGGTACGGGACAGGTACGATCGAGGGTAATACGACACCGTCTCCTGTACCGTACCGTACCATCAAACACAGCTGGCCACATACAGCTGCCCGCAATATTCAAATAGGGCTTTCAAACGCAAGATAATAACGTGAAGCAACTTGGAAGAATGGGTATGAATGCGAAGTGTATGGGGGAATGCATGTAGGGCAATATTGCGGGTTCGAATCCGAGGATATGCCGGAAAAAAAGGAGAATTGAAAAATGTATAACATCCTATGCTTTTTTGCCGTCAGATACTGATAACCACAGGCGTGACACAAACAAACAAACAAACACACAAACACACAAATACCAAATTAAAGCTGTGTGGACCCTGGCTAGCGCCAGACGTTACTGAAGTAACGTCTTCTGCATAGCTACGGGAATAAAAAAAATTGTAACATGGAAATTGTGGGCACAAGTTATGCGATCGAGTTCACCAATTAAACAAGATTTTGAACAGTCAGACGTGCACAATCTAGCACAAACAGATAAGGAGTACTGAGACATTTCACAGCATGAAAGTCATACCAGGCCAGCATTCCATGAAGCCTTGGAATGTAGCTTGTGCTCGGCTCGATGGCGCTAGATGTCCCCTCTTTGGAATTAGCACTAATATCCATGAATCTTCAAAGTTGGAATGCCGGTGGTTAGCGCTCTCGAGCAGTGCTCAAGCTGACTTTCATGCTGTGGAATGTCCCAGTACTCCTTGTCAGTTTTGTCCTAGATTGTGCACGTTTGACTGTTCAACATCTGGTTTAGTTCGTGAACTCGATTACATAACTTGTGCCCACAATTTCCAGGTAACAATTTCTTTCCTTGGCTCACCATCTGAGTTTTGACTAATGATGAAGGAATTCAGGTGGACACATTGATATTTGCATTCAGATGTCCGTACGGGACCAAATAACCGTAGATCCAAACCAGTAATTCTTGTGTTCAAATCACTGCAAGCATTCCATCACACTATGAACAGCTATGGTCATCTGGAAACAAACAAGAACTCACATGTTCTCTCCTCCATAGCCATCAGGCAGCGTCAGTCCAGCAGACACAGCAACCACAATCAACGGCAGTACTGTTTCGGGAGAATGAGAGCAGAGAGGATGGATATAAGCCACGTTGCAAGAACTGAAGACTGTGATAGCACCGCTGATAACTTCAATTAAAAACTTTCTCATATCATTGCGGCGGTGATGTGGGGTTATTGCGTCACATCCTGATCAAATTGCACTAGCGGCGTATACCAGCATTCCTACAGCTCATATTGGTGGAATCAACAACTATCCAACACTTCAGAAGTACAACACACACAGAGCACTACGGAGTAAGAGCTTACTGCCAAGCATTCCTGGGGGGGGGGGGGGGTAGAAGGAATGAGGAGAGTGTTCGCAGCCTCCTGTAAGTGGCTTGTGCAAAATACCCGGATACAACTTGCCCAGCTCTGGCCTAACTGCCACTTGAAAGGATGCTGCAATCGGTCAATGCTCAAGTGCCGCAGGCAAACAAGTGCTACTCACCGAAAACCAACGAGTGAAGTGTGTATCTGACACTTTGCTTGGTCTCATCAAACACGATCACAATCTGCTTGTAGAGGAACGTGGCATCCACTGACGTCCACACGAATGAAGAGAGCAGCAGAAAGTGCATGGCTATGGCTAGTGCTTTGCATGCCAGGCCATGCTGTGGAAGGTTTTCGTAATACAGGATCAGCATGAATATCGACAGGAAGAGAAGTAGAGTTGTGCATAGCCCAAACACCATCTGATGGTGGTGGCCCTGCCGAAGTTTCCTGCAGAAATCAAGCAAGATCGGCAAACCATTGTAAAGGCAGAGCAATATGCAATATGGCAACAGAAAACTTGTGAATGAATCGAACGCAGTGTGAACCTCATTTAGTGAGGCACTCAACTTGGAACATACTTTGACAATCAGGAAGTCAGGAGGTGTTTGCACTGAAAACTCTACTGATCACATGAAATAGTGTGGGTGCATGGTGGAAGGGCATGGAGAAATTACAGAAATCTAAAAAAATTCAAAAATAGAAGAGTATACAGATAGTGCCTTACTTGATCAAAAGTATGGCAATGTTAGTGCAGAGTAGTCCAACCATAGAGAGGGCAGTGCCAATAATCGATATGTACTTCAGCACCTTTTCTTCGACAGGCGGTACATCAGTCGAGTCTACTGAGCTGCGAACCTGGCATCATCAAAGAATAAGAACCATCCGATGTAGTTGTGAAAAGTTGTCCTTTTACACTTGAATGACATTATTATCGCAATAATTTTTTGATTTGTTTCTTCTCGTGATTCAAACAATTGCCGTGTCACAAGATGGGCTATAAGTAGTAAGCAGTAAAGGCAATTTCCAATGCAAGATTGCTAGATATATCCACGCACATTCAAGGCCCTCGTGCAAGATTGTAGCCAGAGCATCAACCATGATTTACTGTAGCATTGTGAATGCACAAGATCGATGTAGTTATGCGCATTCATTTGAAATCAGCATGGATCTCTGTTTACTCCTTTTTACAAGCTCATAGTATGAATCCGATTGAAACTCCGTAGTTAAATTAAAGGGGCACTCCGGGAATATTTTCGGTGGTGTGTTCTCTTCATGGGGGCCTTATATGGCCCCCAAAGAATGGGGAATCGCGAAAACTAGACCCAAAACGTCGATATATGAAGCCAGGGAGGGCCAAGTTTGTCTCCTCTTTTGATGACGTCACGTGTGATTAGTATCTGCATTTGAAGATCTTAGTTGTTTGAATTTTCTGGCGATGAAGAACGATGTTTGGTCGACATTCCCAAGCTTCACAACTGCGGACATACTCTAAGGAACCTGAAGGACCCCCTGAGGTGCCCCTGGTAGAAGCGCAGCCTGATGAGGGCCAGGAGCGGACGACTTCACTGGTCCGAGTACGAGGATCCCGAAATTCTCTATACGCCGTGAGGCATATGATCAGAACAGTTTTGTTTAGACAAGCTGACGCGAAGTCGGGGTGATGTGCAACGCATGTCAAAGGGCTGCCAATGCTAACAGCTGCAGCGCTCTCTCGACAGCGAAGGTAATCGACTGCCCTCTGCATCACCCCACATTTCTGGCCGGAACACCAATCGTTATTTCCTTGTCGACCAGTGAAGTCGTCTGCTCCAATTTCCTGGCCCTCATCAGGCTGCGCTTCTACCAGGGGCACCTCAGGAGGTCCTTCAGGTTCCTTAGAGTATGGTCGCAGTTGTGAAGCTTTCTTCATCACCAGAAAATTCAAACAACTAAGATCTTCAAATGCAGAGAATTTGAATACTAATCACACGTGACGTCATCAAAACCATCAAAAGAGGAGACAAACTTGGCCCTCCCTAGCTTCATATATCGACTTTTTGGGTCTAGTTTTCGTGATTCCCCATTCCTTGGGGGCCATATATGGCCCCCATGAAGAGAACACACCACCGAAAATATTCCCGGAGTGCCCCTTTAAGAAGACCATTGGCAATAGGCTCCTTCATATTATTAACACACACAAAACAATATCGCATGAGCTGATTGTTTAGTAACTGGTGGTATTAGTGGACATTACAGCGTATCTTGTAGTTCCTTTGTCCTTTTTCTTTCTTATAAATTAATCGCTGGCTCTCCATTTGAGTCCATACAGACAAAACAACACTACAAAATATGAGCTTCAACAGCAGAGGAAAATTGCAGGTAAAAGTAGAATGAATGAGTGTCTTACCAGGAGAACAGCGAAATGTGTCAGGTGATTGCATCTGCATGTCGTCTGGTTCCTGGACGTACTGATTTCCAGCACCTCGCATCCATCCTCTGTCCAGCCACCGATTCCATCAGCTGAGGATTTCACAAATAGGCAAACATGGCCGAGAAACACATCACACTTTTTTTCCTTCCACTCAAAAAATATTCTACTGTAATTTAATTATGACAATATTGACCCAGCGGTAAGTTACTGTTTCTGCGATGAGGCCATGTTTGGCGGCTGTGGGTATTTCCAGTTAGCATGACCTACCAAGTTTGAAGTCCCATGAGACGCAACGAACTTCGTCATCCTTTCCCTGAGCACGCACAAAACACAAATAAGACTTGATCCATTCTAACCGATATGCAAATTTAAAAAGCAAAAGGACATATGGATATATGAGCTAAGTGTAACTATTCTTTTCTTCGGTACCCCCTCCCGTACGTTCTACAACTTTATCCAAGCTGGCCTGCATGCACTCTCGTACTCACCATTTTGTCTCCTTTTGTTCCGTTGGCCTGGGTAGCTACTTGTGTGCCCATAATTGCCATAGCAACCCTGCCCCTTTATCTTGCGGTTCACACTTGATCTCTTTTTTCGCTCTTCTTTCTCTCTTACACAATGTAGTCGTTTCGTTCGTCTTGGTCTCTGTATCTTCGTCTCCTGTAATAAATGTTCCACTTACCAGTTCCCGTTGTCCATTGCTGTGCTTGGAGAGTATGACGTTCTCCTGTTGGAACTCAACACTTTCTAAATTTAATTATTGGCTCAAAATCCGAATTTCTGGTATGCAAATTGGGCACCGTATAATTATAAGTAATTGCGACTTAGGCAACAGGAAATTTGGTTGTTTGCAACACATGACCTGTATAAAGGTTGTGCCTCTTTTCCATTGCCTTAGTTTTAGGCATAAATGTTCAATCTGCGAACAGCATGCTGTTTCGTTCTTTGTGAACTCCTCAGCGCAGCACAGAGAAAATGAGGCCAAACCTGAGAGCAATGAAAATAATAATGTCGAAAGCCAGATTTAAATCAGGCCCGAACATACCTTGCCAGAGGGCTCAAACTGACAAGTCAGTGAGCTCAGCGTAATGCAAACAGCAAAGGCACCTGCATAATGCAAACAGCAAAGGCACTACCCCACATGAGAGTGCTCAACTACTACAAGAGCAGGAGCGAAAAAAATTCAAACTCACTGTAGGAACAGCATAGGGGAGATCAAAGGTGGAGATGAATGGTTCCCTGAGATGATCCAACTCCTCCTGGCCAATCTGGACAGAGATGATGTCAGATGTCACTGTGGTGTTGTCGTAAAGTTGCGAGTCAACGAAAAATTCATGTGACCGGTACAGGATCAACGCTGTGGGGGCTATCGGGCAGTTGATGCGACTGGAATTGGGTAATCTCTCGGTGGCTTGCGATATAGCACTGCCTGGAATTACCAGTGACACTAGTGGTATAACTCCTGGAGTCACACATGAAAAAACAAACAAGTAAAACACATGTAATCTGCTCCTACATGTGCTTAGAGGTTCGTGTCTGTTGTGTGACTGTCACAGACCGCAACCCTGAATTGAGCCCATCTACTATAAATTTCCTGTGTGTTTTACCCAGTCGTTGCAGAAATTGGCCTATACACAGAGCTGGGAGACTGCTGAATGTCCAGGGTCACCATGAAACTGGATTTCTGTTGACATCTTATGTGAACGTTTTACCTCAAAGGATGTTTGGGTCACACCGTACAACTTCGTTTTTGAAATTCTCTTAGGAAACACTGAAATAGCCAGAACTAGAATTATGTCCGGCTTTCCAGTTGCAGCGTATACAGTCAACTTCGCTTATAACGACATTCGGCGGGGCATCAAAAAAGTGTCCTCATTCGCGAAGTGTCGTTATACCCGAAGTCTCATTATATGTATTACAGTTGGAAGGGACTTTGCTCTGGGCATGGAAATGCTGTCGTTATTCGTGAATTGTCGTTATATCCGCAGTCGTTATTAGCCAAGTCGACTGTAGATGAAATTTGTTCAGTCAAATGCGTACTAAATACCGGATTTAACTACGTACCTGAAGTGAAATTAGTGTTGATGTAAAACCTATTAGCAACTCTATCATAGTGGGAGTGAAGACTCTCGTTGACACTGCTTGGCACATGACAGGCCAGGGCAAAGCCCACATTGTTCTCGTATGCCTGAAACACTTCACCCTGTTCCAGTGGTACAATTGTCATCAGCTTTTCCATTGCTTTGGCAACTCTGTGCAAAACACACACACACACACACACACACCTCAGACAAAAGACATGCCCATCGCGGAAGCGATGATAGCAAACAGCTATGTTATCGACGTAGCAACTTGTGCTGGGATTACACCATTCAACAGCTTGCAAGGCTGATGAATTGACCGCCACTATTTTTCGCCTGGTATCCACCACACAGCTGTTTGAAGTGACTTTTTCTGGCCAGTGAATCCTTATTTTTTCATTTTCCATTTTTTTCTACCCAGACACCACACCACATAATCCGGCATACACTGGCTGTTGGTAACCACCCAGACACCCAGACACACACACACACACACACACACACACACACACACACATACACACACATACAAACACACACACACACACACACACACACACACACACACACACACACACACACACACACACACACACACTCAAATCGGATTTTATTCACCATTTTTTGGATTTCACAGCACAACATCACAGTAAATAGCCAGTCACTGGGGAACAGTCATGGTATTGCACCGCTATCCAGACAGAGCAGGCTTGTCTCAACGTGGCAGCTGTGGTGGTCAGTTTGAGCGCACTTTTATCGATGTGAGGGTTTCGATACTCATGCCCCTTCAAACTGTGCTACCTCCATTGTTTCCTGCTACATAAATCACAAGAAGGAGAAGCAGTGCTGCGATATAGAGTATTAATATTTTGTTATTTGTTCCGGCCATATTGTCCACCACTGGTTCTTTGGGAAAACACGCGGAGTCACTCTACAAGCGGATAGCTTCTCTTCTCTTCAAGGCAGCGAAGACCGGAGAAGCATACAGCTGTGTCATGTCTTGGGTTCGCTGCAAATTGTGTTTTGCCCTACTCCGGTCCAGAATGATGGGTTTGCGCGGATCCCGAAATCTGCGACCGGTGCAGTTGGAGTCACCTCCCACCTTGGCGGGCATGCGTCTCTGATAACGTTTCCTTCTAGTTTTTTCCATATTGGACTCATTTTTGCTCTTTTCAACCTACTACTAGTAGTTCTTAGTCCGCTTATAGGGCGGCCACACTCCAGCTCTGTGCTGGACTTCTCTTTACTTCTTTTTTCCTTTCACTTGACCATTGATTGAGAGAGCATGTCTGAGGACACCAGAAAAGCTGAGCAGGGCCATCTAACCGATTTCGCTCAAATTCTGCAAGTAGGTTTCCTTTAGGGTCTACAACAACCATGCGAAACGGCACGTTGCATCACTTACGGACACCTTGGAACTGGGGAACACCTCGAAATGGGCCCCAAATACGACTAAATATTGGGTTCAAAAACAAGCGCTGGTACAGCGTACACAATGCAGTTGAGAACAAACCACCACCATGCCAACATTGCCTCACCTGAGTAGTCTTCACATCACCACCACATACAGCCATGGCTACATCCAGGAAAGCAATGGCCATTATCTCCAAATATCACTAAATTGCATTGCAAAATTTCTAGGGCCATAGCAGGAACCATTTACAGCGTCTATTTTCCTGAACCATGCACTGGAGGACAGTGGACTATCTCCACTACCACCCATTTCAAGTCTCATAAATAGTGTTCCACGTTTTTGGAAAATAAAAAATTGAATACGGTCACTTCACCACATTGCAACATTGCCAATTTCCTACCGGACGACGGAAAGCGCCTCCTCAAGCTCCAACACCAGGCACCACTCAGACGACAGCACGCCAAACACTGCAGCGTGGTCACCTCTACCAAGTGTGACAAGAAATTTGAACTGACAACTCTTGTCATTCAAAACAACAAGAATTTTCTTCCCTGAACGACTCGAATTTCACTAGCAGCAAATCTCTGCAGAAGTGCAAAGGATATTGAACAAATCTCGATTTGTGGGATCGAAACACGATATTTTTGCATCCTGAAACTGGCCGTGCGACGACCACTGCGTGACAGAGCAAATCGACGGATTTGATCGAGTTGATCGACAATCAAGATGTTGGCATGGCGGTGGTTTGTTCTCAACTGCATTGTGTACGCTGTACCAGCGCTCGTTTTTGGACCCAATATTCAGTCTCATACCCAGCTCATATTAACCCCCACTAATTCCTGTGATCTGTAACTGGTAAATATATCTCCATATTCACCACTTTAACTTGGGGTATATACTTTGCTATATTACCCACTTAGAGGTTGTAACTTTTCAACTTTCAAGGGACTTTCTGCAAGAATCGAACCTGCAACCATAAGACTCCCAAGCACCTATCTTGACCACCCAGCCACCAGGGTGTTGATGCAGATGTTGGTTGAAAGATAGGTTTTATGTCTGGAACACGCAATGCTACCTACACATAATAGTATACTATAGTATACTGGGATACTAAAATAGCTATTTCGGACCAGTATTTCAGGCCAAAAACGAAGCTAGGTATAAATAGAATAAACACCTCTGTCTTGTGTTTATGGGAATATAAACGCTGTCTATAAAAACCTCGGCTACGCCTCGGTTTTTATAGCAGTGTTTATATTCCCATAAACACTACGACATCGGTGTTTATTCTATACGTATTTTGGTGCCCATTTCAAGGTGGTCCCCAGTTCCAAGGTGTCCGTAAGATATGCACCCAACCCTTTCGCTTGGATGTTGTAGACTCTAAAGGAAGCCTACTTGCAAAATTTGAGCTAATCGGAGAGATGGCCCAGCCCAGCTTTTCTGGTTTTCTCAGACATGCTCTCTTAAGAATTTTTGCCAGTACAAGAGATTTGATCTTGAACAAAAGGAAACATGCACACACTGCAATATTCGTGTAACCAACAAACATAAAAGCAACCTTATTGGGAGTTGATATGCCCTAGAATCTTACCTGGCAGCTGGTGGGGGCAAAATGATGGTGGAATTGACGTCTAGAATGTTGTCTACGGATCGCAGCGTGGCATTTGCAATCTAAGACAACGCACATAATATAATAGAAACACAAGCACACCAAAACACGCACACATGCACGTACACACACGCACATGCATGAACACGCCAATGCACGCGCACGTGCACACGCACACACACACACACACACATGCTCACAATCAAGCACACATGTTCCAGAATACACATACACAGCCAATGACAATAATGACAATCTGTCTTAGAATATGAACGCAATGAAAACCAAACACGCTGTTCCACTATAAGTAACTCGTGCTTTACAAGAACAGGAGACTGGAGTTGACGAAAACTGTTCTCGTTCACTGTTGTAATAAGGCATGAACATGACTTGTGATCTTCACCTTGAACTCTATGTCACCTTCTCTGACCAGAAATATGATCAGACTTTCTTAATTAAGAGCCATGCAATTTTACTCATTTCGAGTCTTTACGAACTTCAGCACAGAGCAAAACACAGGAAAACAATTCTGAGATTTGGCACATACCAGCTTGATATAAGTACTGTTAAAGTTGGATCCCTTGCTGACAGTCGAAACAGCATTGTAGATGCTGGATGTCGCGTAATCAACATCATCTGCTATGAGCTTCTGAACAAAGCTGGTGAGATTCGACACGGCAATGGAATGATCTAGAATCGTGAAGGGGTTGCTGGTGTTTAGTCGGGCCTGCAAAGTAACAGTGGAATAACACATGATGACAATGGGTGAAGGCAGCCCAAAAGCAGTCAGCCCCAAACTAGGTGTTCTTGAGAGATTTTCCTGGGGACCAGCACTTGAGTTTGGAGGTTGGGAACTGCGCTCACTCGCAGATAATGTTATGCAAACCCTTTCCAGACTGTTGGTGTATTCTGTTGCAACTCAAGTATTCATGTAACCATAGTAACATACGCACGGAAAATACAGAACAGGCAGGTGATAGGAACGACATTTTACGGGGGAAGATGAGAGACAAAAACGAAGACTACATGGCGACGACAAGAGAGAGAGATAGTGTGTGTGTGTGTGTGTGTGTGTGTGTGTGTGTGTGTGTGTGTGTGTGTGAGAGAGAGAGAGAGAGAGAGAGAGTGAGAGAAGAGGCCGGATAAAGGACCTGAGTAGCTAGCGCTAGTTGCAACCCAGGTCAACGGAGCAAAATATGAGTACAGGAAAACCGGAAGCGGGGCCAGCAGGAAAAAGGATGTGGAAGGAGACAGAAGAGGGTACCCAAACACTTCTGAAGTACCACTCCTCGTTTGTAGATGTGGAGCAGGAATGTTAGTTGCACATCTGTGATGTGGTGATTAAGTGCAAGAGCACATCTGTGGTGTAGTACCTATATGTAACACTGGCAACCTGATAGCTGCAATTGTGCCCGTTTTGACTATGAAGTATGCATGACGGACATTTGCTGGCGTGGTGATCGGACTACACTAACTACATACAACCTATGAGCCTGGGCTTTTACTGATCAGTGGCAGTATAAGGTTAAAGGGGAAGTTAAGGCAAAAATTAAAATTTCACCAGTTGTAGTCTTCGGGGTGCTGAGTCGAATGGTCTTGGTCCGAGAAAGCTGAGACGCTCCCTTCCTACTTGAATCCCAATCGAACTCGCGCACTTCCACCGAAACTGGGTGACTGCGCCCTACTAGATGGGGATTTGTATGCAAAATGTCACTAAAAGCGCCGTTTCGTTCTTATAAAAGCACGGATGACCGCGATTGGCCATATGTTGTAGTCTTTTGGACGCTGCGTCGACTGGTTGTGGTCCGAAAAGGCTGCGATGCAGCGTTCCTCCTTTATTCCAATCGAACATGGTTGAACAAGCGGTCACGTGCTCCTGCGTACACCAGTCAGCTGGTCACCGTGCCTGCAGGGTACAACTTACTAGCCTGTTTGACCTTTTTTTGGGTACAGTCCTGTCACTCGAGTTGAACTCGAGTTGAACCTTGGTGTGAAAGTTGTCGCCTGCTGGCGTGGTGACCAGGGTGATTTGTGCACCCAGGAGCACGTGACCACTTGTTCAACCATGTTCGATTGGGAATAAAGTAGGAACGCTGCATCGCAGCCTTTCCGGACCAAAACCAGTCGACGCAGCGTCCAAAAGACTACAACATATGGGCCAATCGCGGTCATCCGTGCTTTTATAAGAACGAAACGGCGCTTTTAGTGACATTTTTGCATACAAATCCCCATCTAGTAGGGCGCAGTCGCCCAGTTTTCGGTGGAAGTGCGCGAGTTCGATTGGGATTCAAGTAGGAAGGGAGCGTCTCAGCTTCTCGGACCAAGACCATTCGACTCAGCACCCCGAAGACTACAACTGGTGAAATTTTAATTTTTGCCTTAACTTCCCCTTTAACACCTAACACAGGTTGCAGCAGCAGTAGCTAGAACAGGTTGCAGGAATGGTAGAATTTCTGTCTACAGCAGGTTGCGGGCGTAGTAGCCACAGCAGGTTGCAGAGGCAGCAGTCAGAGTAGGTTGCAGGCGTAGTAGCCACAGCAGGTTGCAGAGGCAGTAGCTAGAGCAGGTTGCGGGGGGCAGTAGCTAGAGCAGGTTGCAATATATTGATTGTTTATCGTCAGGTTTTCCCGAGAAATCGGGGCGGACGGGAGGTTTTTAATTTTATTTTTTATTATGCATTTATGGCTGTGGGGCAGGTGTTCGCAACCCCAGAGGATAATTGAAAAGTGGAACAACCAACGTAACGTAGAAAAAAACGAAGAAAATCAGGCAGCTTATGATCAGTTTCACTTTTCAAGCCTATAGCAACTGAGTTATGGTTCAGTCTGTGGACTTGACCTTCAAAAATCTATGGCCGTGCTGATTAGAGGCTGTAGACCGCAGTACATACAGTACATTTACCAGTACTAAAAAAATAAAATAATTCGGCCCGGGACGGTGAAAATTTGGGGCGGGCGCGAACGATAAAACAATCATTTTTTTACTTGGCTAATCACTTTGAATGGTTTTAAATAATATGTAACTGGTTTATAGAGCCAACCTAACACTCACCTTGGACAATTTGTAGAGATCCACAGTTATTGCACTCGGGCAGTGATTGAGGTTAGCAGCAGACCATAGACCCCAGGTCAGGTTAGCATTATGAGGTCGCGGGACCATTCCACATGTCCGTGTGGTGTATCTGATAAGGTTGCTATGGACTGCGATGGGGCATTGTACTGTTATGTCGGTACCGATAAAGGTCTGTGGCCACGTGATATTGCCCCTGATTCCGCCGTATGTGGTTTCGGAAGCACACTGATCTGTGCACAGTAAGACGGCCAAAACAAAAAGACGAGCTTTCTTCAAACAAGGTTAACCATGAGAAATCTTTTTGGGAAACTTTATAAGCTTTGTAAGGAAACGATACAACATGCGCCATCAGGGGAGGGAGGAGGAGAATGGGAGAAAGGTGAATGGTACATTTTAGAGGGCAGCCATTGTTAAGGGTTGCAGGGTTGCTGGGAATTGTTTTTTTACTCACCGTAAAAAAGTAAGTTGAATGAGGAAGCATTTACTTGAAGTGGCATACTTGGATTCAATAGTCTAGCTGTTAAATTCGCTCGTATCTTTGGAATGGAAACATTTGCATCGATTGCTGTCAGGAACTCGGCTGGAATGACAAGATCCACTAGAATCAATACAGGATGACGGTCTGAACAAAGAAACAAACAAATTTTGAATTCACATAATTATAATCTACGTAGTTTAGTAAAAAAATGAAGAACACACAAGGAAGCAACTATCCACGGCTGAAACAAGGTAATAAAGAGTCAGAAAATGCAAGTTTCTGAGACATTCAACGACCTGATAGCTAGCTCTAACCCATCTCTAGTACTCAAACCAAATCCATCTCGTTGGTCCTACCTAATCGTGAATCTTCCCAAGTTGGAAGGCCGTTGTAACAGAACATTATTGCATGAAGCCAACTTTCAAAGTTGGAGGCTTGATATGAGCAATGTTAGCCAAATGTAGCCTTGGAAGGTAGAGTAATGGGAGTAGTGGAAACTTGTGGAAGAACTGAATAATCTTGAGTAGCAAAGGACGGATTTCGGGTGTAGACGCTGTGATTTTTGTGTGGATTAATCAAAAAAAGGCTGCGTTAATCTCACTGCATATGCCCAGCCATAGATACATGAAAACACACACTAATAATTATAATATTCAGTCTGAAAATGACTCAGTTAGTCCTACCCTTGAGAGCTGTCATATTCGAAATGTTCCTGCTCCATGAGCCTATTCGGAATCAGCATCCTCAGCTGCAGGAATAGAATTCGGAAAGCACAAACAGATTGACTCCGATCACCTTTGGTGTAAATGCAAAAATGACAAGTAAACGACAGCTAAGGGGCACATTGTGTGCGACTCCAGCTCTGGCTGGAGCGAGCGGTCCAGCCTGACGAGGGCGTTTACATGTGCACGGCAGGGCTGGCTGCCAGCTCATTATGAGTTTATATTCGCTGAACACACGCCAGAGGTTCGAAGTCTGAAGAAAATGCTGAGCGGTCACTGCTTGGATGTCTGCTACACCGTAGCTCAGTTGCTAGAGCATCGCTGGCCTAAAACAAAGTTAACTTCTTCAAGTACTGGTGGTTACAGTCAAGTTTTCTTCAGACTTTTCTGTCCATTCCCTCAACCAGTGGATATATTAATTAACTGGGCAATAATTTGGAGATCAATGAGTAAATGTTCGATTGCAGTGGAATACCGTGGTGGTCATGGAGTGGAATGAGACTGGTTACCTAGGATAGCATAAAACGTGGACATCAACCCAAGAGCAATCTATTGTATTTCTGATAATATCCCTATTTAAGATCACACCTCTCCAGTCCACCTACCAGGAGTAGAGAATGCTTGCTCGATTGCGTCGCTCTCATTAGTGGCCTCCAGGTTTCGCCTTCGTCGAAGGTTGGCGGTGTTGAATATCCTTGGAGCCCGATTCGGGTTTGTTCTGATGATGGAAAGAAGAATTTTTTCACTTAAATTTGCAGACCAGGTCTAAATGGGAACTAAGTATTGAACAAAGAGAACTAAAGATTCATCAGTTTACAGTTACGTGGTAATAACATTCACAGACCAGCGTGTAAGGTGGCAATGTAAGACGCTTACCATACTCCGCGGGTAGTGCGCCTGGGGCACTATTATTTTCAATGTCCATCACAGATATGATCACACTATTTTAAAGAGAGATATTAGTGCAATGAAAGAGTAAGTTGCGCACTCTGTACAAAAAACAACATTTGCAAAGCTACTTGTCATTTACATGTTTGTCCTTACTTTTCGAGGCCATCTCATCAGAAGGTTTACTGGAAAATCAATCATTTTTTATTCAAGAGAATGCACTATTTTCTAAAAGGCTGGTACATTTACGTCATCCCGTATAAAAACAAATAAGGCAAAGAAAACAGAGCTTAAAGTGTATTGTAAACTATCGCGACTCATCAGAAAGGGCAACAAGAAGTGCGATTTTGATCCTGACACCACGAGTTCAATGACATGGACAAGAACACTACGAAAAGAACAAAAATAAACGTGCACATGCACTTGGTATAAGACCCGGGGGCACTATTAAAGAGAGGGCTTCGTTTTTTCACTGGCTCCTAGAGACTGGGGGCAAAAGTCGAGATGGGGCACTATTCCAGGGAAGAAAAAATCGCGCTGGTACGGCAAGCTTAATGCGATCAGTGCGGATACACACAAAGCAAATCAGAGCTCTCCAGTCAACACACACACCCAGTGCAGCCCCTACTCAGTAGCTGTTTGTTTTGTCCGCATAATTATTTATTTTACGAGTTGGGTTTGTGAATAGTAAAAAAACAAAAAACAAACAAACAATCAGCAACAAAATTTCTTCCCACAGCTAGGAGAGGTGATACTGCTGCTATGACCTGAAAAAGTAGCAATCAGATCACTCACCTTTCACTGGTATATGGATCTGTGCTGAGATCGTCCCAAGAGAATTATTCACAGTCAGAGTGTACATTGTGCTGTGGCATGTATGAACAGATGGAAATAGGAGCTCTGCTTTGCTCGGCGTGCTGTAGTGTGCACAGCTGAACAGTTTTCAGTGTCCACGCCGTTGCATTCACCATCCGCTGTCAGGCACCATTCAGCGTCGGGTTCGGGATTACCAAGAAAACTGCCCATTACTTCCAGCCTTGCACCAGAAATGATGTAATGGACTTTGGCAGGGGAGGAACGATTGATGGATTCGCTGTGAGGAGAATCGAGAATTAGAGGGGGAAGAACATAGCAGCTTCAAATTGCTCATCAAATTGTTTATGGATCTCTGCAGTCCATTCATAAAAATATGGACTTCTTAGCTTTTGGCCATAAATGGGGCAAACTTTGGGGTTTTCTTAGAATTCTTTCTGCACTCCTTAACAAGAATAGGATTTCCGGCCAGGTTTTGCCCAAAAGCACTGAATTGGGGAAAAACATCAATATCCAGGCCGTTTGACCCCACCTGCAACAGTCCACTATGCGGTTTGAACCCCAGCTCGGGGGGCCCGTTTTTGACCTTTTTCCAATTTCCAATTCTGCAGCACTGCACTGAAAATCGTCGAAAATCAAAAAAATGGTTCACATACGGAAGCTTGCGAGAGCCAGGGCTCATCTTATGCATGGGCTCTATGCTACCTATACTTTTCATATGTATAGATTATAGACCGGTTAGGAGGTCTATGTATCCTGTATAGACCAACTATGAGGTCTATAATCTATTCATCGTGTTCTCCCTGCAAGAGTTTCTCTTCATATACGACATATCCTTGTAATTCTAGTATTCTACTATAGCCTACACCGCACTGTACGGCATTGCAGGATCAAGGTCATTGTTTAAACTAGGTTCAGCATCGGTAGCACAGTGGCTGGGTGGTAAGGAAGAGTGACTGAGATTTACATGGTTGTGGGTTCAAATCCCATCTTGTGTATTTCTGCTTTCTTCAAAAATTCTTTTCTAATTCTAAGGAGTCAAATAAATGTAGTCAAATACACATTATATTTGACTAATAAGCAGTCAAATACGTGATATATTTGACCGCTTAGGGCATGTTCGTGTGGTAGGGATCGGGATCCCGATCCACCGGATCCACTGGATTCCCACCCTTTCGATTGGTCGAATTTGGATCCGGATCCTTCGGATTTGGATCCGGTCAACCCACCTCGGGAGCAGGGTTGACCGGATCCAACGGATCCAAATGTGACCTTTGTGCTTACATGGCGGGTAAAAATCATTTTTGTACACATTGTGATACGCACACATGGATGGAGAAGAGCTTGTTGACTTTTTGTACGACGGAGGCGATGAGTACGACGTTCACCCTTTTGGGGTGATTCGTGAGCGCCATTGTCAACATGGCAACAGTCAAGGTCCAATATAAAGTGTTCAGTTGAATCTGAAGCATCCCATGGATCTGAGATCTGGATCCTGATCCCGATCCTTACCAATCGAACATGCCCCAAGGTATCAGGGAAATTAGTGGCGTAAAATACTAAGAAGGCGATAAATATA